TAGGTGTTATTAGCTGTTATTAGCTGTTATTAACTGTTATTAGCTGTTATTAGGTGTTATTAGCTGTTATTAACTGTTATTAACTGTTATTAGCTGTTATTAGGTGTTATTAGGTGTTATTAACTGTTATTAACTGTTATTAGCTGTTATTATGTGTTATTAGGTGTTACAGTACTTTTACCTTCATTCCAGAATCAAACTGATTAAAAGCGTCTCTGTTAGTGTTTCCAACAATCACCAACTCTGGTTTGCTGGAAATAAATCCTTCATTCACCAACGTAGATGATAAAAAGACAGGCGGCGGGAGAGAGACACCATGTGACTGTGTGTGTTCACCTGTTCAGGATGTGTGGCAGCAGGTGAGGGAGGGTCAGATCGACCCCCTGACCCTGAAGGAGATGTTGGAGAGCATCAGGAAGAAGGCCGACGTCCCGCTGTCCGTCCGCTCGCTCAGGTTCCTCTCTCTAGAGACGGACGACATGGACGAGTTCGTCCAGCTGCACAAGCAGCAGCCAATCAGACGGCAGGTAGGACTCGTTACAGTGTCAGCGTGTTCTGATGGTACCCCTCGCTCGCTCTGATTGGTCGGTCCTGGTTTCAGACCGTCATCACCTGCATCGGCACTCTGAAGAAGAGCACGGCCGACGATGACGGCGTCAGCTGTCTGGTGATCGGCACAGAGAGCTGCGACGTCTACGTCCTCGACCCCGAAGCCTTCATCATCCTCTCCAAGGTGAGCTCACAGCACCTACTGATGACATCATCATCATTCTGCTCATTCAGTGGTACAGAAAACAACAACAAATAACAGAAAACAACAACAAATCACAGAAAACAACAGTTACAGAACAATAACATAAATTGTTATTATTTTAATGTGAATGTTAAAAGTTATAGAACTGTAATAAAAGTCATTATCTGTGAAATTTCACTGATACCAATGCTTATACACTGATAAACAACATCTATTCAACTTCCATAATTATACAAGATAACAAACAAATCCATGTAATGTCCAATGTATGAACTCTTTTTGTGTGAAAAAAGGAAATTTTTCTTTAAATAATCAGTAATTTTATGATTATTTACAGTTACAGTTATTTGATGGTAGACATGTAAATTCACAGGATATTTTTGTAATTTAAGACAGAACCTGTCAGTTTTATGTAGAAAAAAACCCAAAACTTTCTCTAAATAAATTACTTTCTGACAAAATTCTACAACTTAAATAAAATTATTAATTAAAATCAACTTGTTTTTTAATATTTATTTATTTTGGAAATGGAATTTATTTAAATATTTAGGAATTATTTAATTATTTGCAGTTTAAAGAAGACATTAATTCATACTTACTTGAAGTGTTCAGATTTGTCACTCAAGTAAAAGTATCAATAGAAGAGAGTAAAAATACTCTAGAGGTACACAGTCTTACTAAGTATTCTCAGTAAAGTTGAATTGAATTGTGTTATAATGTATTACTGGATATTTGTAACTAATAAAGTATTTCTGAGCAGTATTTTAATGTAAAGTAGTAAATCTACAGCAATGCATCATATTTTATTATCTTGTTATTTTTGTGTAAAATCTTACTGCAGGAGAATAAAAATACACTATGTTCTTTTTTAAAGCAGCATAAATATAGATATTATGAGTAAAGTACCTCCACACTGTACCGTTTTATCTCCAGAACTCTTTTTGTATTGATTTCTGCTTTAATCATTTTCATTTTATAAACACTTCATGAATAATGCAGGTCTTGAATCGTGTGCTGGAGTGCAGCGTGGTGCTAACTGCTAATAAAACAGCGTTAGGATGGTGTGGACGAGAAGAGCGTAGGATGATGAAGATGAAGTCACTGTTGGCAGGGAAACTTGATTGAGTGGGATTTTAACTTACTATGAGAGGTTCTTATGTAATGAAAGATTTTCACAGGTTTTATCTGCAGGAAAAAGAAAGGAAGACTATCAGAGACTGGTAATTATATCAGATATTCTCTGGGGGTAATGTTGGTTCATATTAGAAATATATTTATAATATATATTGTTTAATCCTGGTTTGGTCCAGTATTCTGTTTTTAGTCCTGGTTTGGTACAGTAATCTGTTTTTAGTCCTGGTTGGGTCCAATATTCTGTGTTTAGTCCTGGTTTGGTCCAGTATTCTCTTGTCTTTAGTCCTTGTTTGGTCCAGTATTCTCTTGTCTTTAGTCTAGTTCTTTTGTGGTATTTCCTTTTACCATTTCTAACTGTGACCACCTCTCTTCGTTGGTCCAGTGTTTGGCTGTTTGGTCCAGTTCGAGGTCCAGAAAAATTTCACACCTGTAAATCAGAATCAGAATCAGAATCAGAAATACTTTAATAAAATGAGTGTTTATGTAAGAGGGACGCAGACTTCAGCCTTCTGTGTTTGAAGTTCACTGAGGAATCATAAAGTCTGCACAGAAAGGTGTGAGTGCAGGGTCGGTCCATCAGTACATGTAAAAACTTTCTGGAGTCTTCTTTATCTCTCAGATGCTTCGAGCACTTTGCAGGTTTGATCTGATTTAGTGACTCCAGAGTGTGTTTTTCCTCAGGATGAATGAATTGAAGAGAATCCTCTGGGCTGTGTAACATGAGCACATTTCCTCCCGGCTGAGGTGCAGTCAGACAGTCGTCCTCTCACAGACATCAGACTGAAGCTTCTAGCTGTAACCAGATAACAGGCACTCACAGAGACATCGATAAACTACACAGAGGCTTTAGTTTGCACGTCCTGTCTCAAATCAATATGAAACCGCACAGTATCTCAAAGTCCGTCCACACTTCCTGCGTCAGTCCTGTGAATCAGCTCTGAGGGGACATCCAGTTAAAGTCCAGCACCAGGTTCTGTCCTCAGTCCGGGAGGAAAGTCCAACCTTGACGATCAATAACTAATAAGTTAGTTTGTAACTAAATCAAACACACAGTTATTACTTCAGGCAGAACTGAACTAGTTTGGATGTAAAGTTATAACTGCAGCAAGTGGACAATCAAAGACATTGGTCCATCACCATGGTTACAGTGCACATTAGCTTTTTATACTGGAGGAAAGCCAGAGAGCTAACGTTATGCTACGAGCCAGAGAGCTAACATTATGCTAGGAGCCAGAGAGCTAACATTATATATATAATCTGGCAGTAGCTATCAGCTGTGTCATTGTCCCTAAATCAATATGAAGATTTTCACCCACTAATGATCAGCCAATGTCTGATGATTGATTGATTGTCAGAGTCAACTGACAGACTGATTCTGATTGGGAGTAAATCCCTGCAGAGGGGTGGAGGCTGGTGTATCAGCTGTCCACATACTTTTGACCATGTACTGCAGCTGAGTTTGAGAAGAGCCGACGACCAAACATCCATTTTTGTGAAATATGAAGCAGCAGTGCATGCTGGGATCTAGTTGCACTTGAGAAAGAGGTCATTGTGTGAAGTGAACTGTATGACATCTGATCTCTGTCTCCCAGAATATCTGAGGACTCGGATCCGATACCCGTTAATCTGTCCTTTCTTCTCTCAGAGACACTAGTTCAGACTGAACACACCCTGCTAGCGCCCCCTACAGGCTGCACAGTCACTGGTTCTAAGTGCAGATAAATATATAAGGTTGGTTCAGACAGTGGCGCTAGAGGACAGTCTAAAGGGTTCGCCCTCTGCAGAACAGGAAGTCAAAGTAAAGTCTGATGTTTGGATTCTGTCCTCGTGTCTGCAGCCTCAGCGTATGCAGACCTGCAGCAGCACCGGTCTGAGGGTGTCCACAGAAGGCTGTCCCCGGTGTCCAGCTACGTCCCCCAGCCGGACTACCTGGAGGGGGATGAGGACGAGGACCTCATCAAACCCAAAAAACTTGTGAATCCTGTCAAAGCCTCAAAGAGTCACCAAGAGCTTCACCGAGAGCTGATGAGCAGCTGCAAACGGTAAGAGCATCTGACCACAGGCATGTGAGGACCACTTTGGGAAGTGAGGACATTTATGGGAAGTGGGGACATTTTTAGCTGTGGTGTTTTTTGGAAAGTTGATACTTATTTTTTTCTAGAAATTTGAGACAAGTTGGAGAAAGTTGTAAAAATGTTAAAACTCTGGACATATTTTAAGAAAGTGAGACCATTTATGGACAACCTGTTATTCGTCCTGAGTTACTATGAACTTCGATATGTAAATATTGTCTCTGGTGTGTCAGACAGTCCTGGTAGTGGTTGGTGCAGATTACGACTGACCAATCCCAGAGCGGTATTTTCTGGCCTTTAATGGACTTCCTGCTGTCCTCTCTGTGTCTGTCTATGCTGTCGAGCTCAGACTGTGTAAAGTTTTGGAAGAAATGAGCAGATGCTGCTTAGCAACAGCCTCCCACCTCACAGGCCTGTGCCACTGAGGACGCTGGGAAGGTTTTCACACCACGTCCACACAGTCGCTCATTGACGCTCAGAGCTTTAACGCTGTGGACAGCGAGGACGGCCTTTTCTCTTTGGTTTTATCATTCAGGAGGAAAACTGGAGCTGGAGGACGCCCAGAAACACACAAATACAACTCATTAACATCATCTGCTGGGTCAGAAACGGGACATTTTAGCAAATGTCCTCAAATCTTAGGAAGGTGAGGACAATCTTTGACACTTTTTAGAAACAGAACACTGTAAAAAGTAAAGACACTTCTGTTTTTGCTTTTTGGAAAGTAGGGATATTTTAGGGAAATGGGGATATTAGCTGTTGAGATACTCTGACTGAGCTGCAGGCTGATCTGGATTAGGGTTAACCCTAACCCTAACCCTGGAGTCTGGATTGTCAGGAAGTTTTTCTGGGAGTAAAACAGTGATGATGATTGTGGATTCACCAATAAACCAATAAACAATCTTTCATTGTGTGAATTGATCACAGTTCAAATGTCTCTCATTATCAGTGAAAATCACATCTATAATATTTGTTCACAGGTCAGAGGTTTGATCAACATCAGCAATAACAGACTGCCCTCTGCTGGAGGAAACACGGACTACAACACAAACTCTCATTCATTCAGACTGAAAGCATTCATTCATTCATCAGCTGATACAGACAGATATATTGATCAGAATCAGTAAACGACAGTAGAAAAATATTTTGAGTTTGTCCACCAGGGAGCACTCACTGTAAAATTACAGGTTGTAATATGTCCCCTTCAGTTTCTTCTTCTAATTATTATTATTATTACATATATAAATACAAACAGTCTGTGGGAACAACAATGTGCCTGATCTGTAAAGAAAAGTATCATTTCATCATTAAAATGCTTTTGAAAAAGATATATGAACAGAAAACGACATGTTAAACAATCCCAACTTCTTTTGACAACAATTAAAATTAAATTAAATTGATAAAATCAGATTATTTTAACATTTCTGTTTGGCAGACTGTTGTACAGTTTAATTTTCAATAAATACATTATATGGGGTTTACAGTGGAAGTGCACGTTTAATAATGAAATGTTTCATTTAAATATCTGGAAGTTCATGTGTTGAATGTTTTTTCTTAATGGTGCTGTGTATTGTGTGTTCAGGGGTCACGGGGTCAGTGTGGAGATGAAGCCGGAGCTGCAAAGAGTTCTGGAGTCCAGGAAGAGAGATCAGCTGATCAAACAGAGGAAACAGGAAGAGGAAGCTCACAGGAAGATTTCTCCTCTGGAGGCTGAACTGCTGAAGAGACACAGGAAGCTGGAGGAGGTAACACACTCACACAGTCACACACACAGTGACAACAGTGTGCAACAATAGCTAACGTTAGCTTATACAGTCCACTAATGTCTACAAATGACCAACACCCACCACATCAATCTGAATGTTAGAGTCCATCAGTGCATTCACACTGTCAGTGAGGCAGAACGCAGTGTGAGGAACCGGATGGTTCACTTCTTCTCTACTCTAGCAGAAGGGGAGGGACCACCGGAACATACTGGTACATTTCTCGCATGAAACAATTCAATTCAGTTTTATTTGTTTAGCACTGATTCATAACAGA